CCCTCGCCTGTCCACCCCTGTCCTGTCGCCACTCGGCAGTCCTGCCACAGACCCCTCAGAAGCCCCCGAGCATGTCTCCGCTGCACCCCGTCCCCAAGGCGAGCCCCTGCAGGCAGGTGGGGGAGCCCACTGGCCTCCGTGACTCCGCCCTGTCGTCGGGCGGCCCCTGCAGCTCCGTAAAGAGCCCGGCGGGAGCCCCAGCCTGTGTTTTTATCACCTCGTCTCTCTTTTCCAGTGCGAGCCCTGGCCGAGGCCAATGCCGTGAAGCTGCACAGAGCCACGTTCTGAAGCGTCCTCTGCCCGGGGAGGTCCTGGCCGCCGCCCTGGCCCCCGTCGTTAGCTCCATGGGAGCCGCAGGGAGCCGGGCTGGGGGCCAGGGCTGCTGCCAAAGGAGTGTGGGCTCCTGCAGCCCCGCTGCGCACGCTGTGGGCCTGGCAGGAAGGGGTGGAGAGGTGGGAAGGCGTCTTCTCCGGTGCCCAAGCCGCGGCCCGGCTCTGGCTGGCAAGGTGGTGGCCCCAGCACCACCCCCGGGTGGAGAAGACGCACTGGTGGGGAGCGTGCCTTCGGCTGTCCTGGCGAAGACTAGAGGTGGAGGAGAGACGGGCATCATCACCCTCCCCGTGTGCCCCAGGCTTTTCCGCGCCTCTGCTGACGGGCTTCCTGGGGTTCCGGGGAGACCAACCACGCTGCTTGAGCCAAAGACTGGAGGATGAGCGAGGGGACGGGGCTCCCGGACTCCCCCGGGGACAGAGCTGGCAGTGGATGGAGAACAGCAGGTCTGGGTGGTGTCTGAGGTCAGGTTGAGAAGGGACAGCGGAGAGCAAGGGAGAGGTCCTAGAGTGGGCACAGGGCGGGGGGCAGAAGGCACTGGCAAGTGAGAGAGCAGGACGACGGAAAGGGGATGGGATGGGCCTGCCCGGGCGCTGAGAGCGGGCGGATGCGGACACCGGGGCGGAGGGCCACGTCCGCACCGCACCTCATCCCCAGAGGCAGCCGGCCCCGGGGACCGGCCAGCAGCGTGCTCGCGTGGGGGCTGAGGCGTGGGTGAGGGAGTCGGGCCCCTTCTCAGTCAGGGTCTGGTGTCAGCCTCTCCCTGGCCCCCGGGGTCAGGGCGGAGGGAAGGACCTGTCCCATGTGGGGTGTGGCCGGCCTCGGGGCCTCCACCGAGCCAGGTGCTCACCCTTTTCCTGGTACCAGCTGAGTTCGTCCCTGGGAGAGGGAATGAGGCCTGGATCTGGGGGCGGGGGCCAGGACCGACCCCTCACCGCGGGCATCCAGAGCAGCACGAAGGTTCCACCCACCTTGAGATGAATGTAGCCAGAGAGGACAAAGGTGGGGAAACTCAGGACATCTGGCCCTGAGATGTTTTCTGCCAGTTACTGCCGGAGACTGCAGCCTGACCAGCAGCAGCAGCAGCAGCAGCAGCAGCAGCAGCAGCAGGAACAGCTGCTCCCCACCCCACAGGCTCCTCTCCGCTCTGTGGCTGGACAGCTACTGGTTCATACGGGGGTAAAAATGACCGCTCACTCAACAGATGGGAACCGAGCACCTTTGATGTACCAGGCACTGTT